GCTTATATATGGTTTCTTGGGATTTATTGGGGTTTAATTTCATTCAATATGAACTTCAATTCCGGTGCTAATTACCCTTGGCTCTAAAAAGATTATCTGTAAATAAATGTAAACTTATCTTTGAGGTACAGTTCTAAAAGAGTTGAGATTAACTGAGTAAGTGACTATTTGAAGACATGCATATGTCCTTTATTTAAGTATGTCTAAACTTGTAGCTTATCTCAAACATTTCTTTTACACTACGTTTGATTCAAGGGATTTGAAAGGAAAAGAAAAGAAAATGGTTTTCTCTCATTTTCCTCACCAAAATGGGAGGAATTTGATTTTCCCTTCTCTTAATATATTTTGTCTTCTCATTTCCTTTTCCTTCCACTTTTCTTTTCTTTTCCTCTCTATCCAAACAAGAAATGCTATTTTCAAACTCATTCTCTTTTCTTTTCCATTTCAAATTCCTTGAACCAAACATAGTGTTAGAGTTTTAGTTTGTTTAATGCTTGGAAACAAGTTCTCTAGCTACTTTCGGGTAGGGGCAATGTCAGTATACACACATCCTCCCAGACCTTATTTTCGTTAACCTAAGTGGTTTGCTTTTGTTGTTTTTGTTTGTTTAATGCTCATCACTTCATTAAATATTTTCCAGGAGTAATATTTTATTAGCTCACTGGATGGTATTCAACTTTATTATTTGTAAATTGTAATATGTGTAGTTGCATAGAATATACTCTCTCAGTCCCTAAATAAACTTCTCTTTTCATTTTTTCTTTGTCCCCAAATAAACTTCTCTTTTCCCTTAAAAGACTCCTTTTACCCCTTACTTTTTCATACTCTATCTATCACATCATACCTTTTTACTAATAATCTACATATCACATCTTACGTTTACACATCACATCAAGGGTATTTTTGGAAAGTCAACACAAAAATATCCCTCCCTTAAATTCTCAAAAAGTTAAAAAGGAAAGTTTATTTAGGGACGGAGGGAGTATATGGCTTCATCTTGAAATGCCCGCACCGCTTTATTTATTTGTTATCCTTTCTTTGAAGGGTATGTTAGAAATTTCATTTTTGAACAAATGATAGGTATGTATGATCCTTGTGAAGTGGCTGTTTGTGTTCATGAATATTGTTCATGGGCCTGTTTGGTAATAGCTTTAGAGATTAGCGTTAGCGTTTTGAAAAGGCTATCTACGGCCAGCGTTTAGTGCTAGCGTTTTCAAAGTAATCTGCACCGTTAAAATCTTATCCAAAACGCTAACGCTAATCTCTAACGCTATTCCCAAACAGGCCCGATATGGAATACTACGTAGTACTCCCTCCGTCCCTCAGCATTTGTCTACTTTTGATTTTTTTCAATCAAAATTAGTAAATTTTGATCTTAAATTAAATAAAAATGATATTAGATATTATTACAAAAATACAGAGTAGTTTTTTTAGATTTATTATATCAAATATTTTCAAAATATTATTTTATTTGATTAATATATAATATATACTCCTCCCTCCGTCCCAAAAAGTCTTTCATGTTTCATTTTTTGCGCATCCCATAAAACATTTCTACCAACATCTAAAATGCCTAAAATTTACAACATTTCTTCTTTATTGTGGGTAGAAGTTATTTTGAAAGTTTTTTTGGCATTCAAGGCGGGATAAAAATGTTTTATGAGATGCGCAAAAAATGAAACAGGAAAGACTTTTTGGGACGGAGGGAGTATTTAATTTAATTATAGGTCAAATATTAAAAGCAGTTGACCGATAAAAGTCAAACCGCACAAATACTCAGGGACGAAGGTAGTATATAAATTTCTGTAGACAAAATATAAAAATTTGGTGGGAATTTCTTAAGTGTCACAAGGAGCACTCAATTATAACTAGGGGTGTAAATGGATATTAATCGGATCGGATGTGTCATTACCAAATACGTATCCGTTTATTTTTGTCGGATATCGAATTCGGATACGGATCTTGACGGATACTGAAAATCAAAACCGTATCCGCATCCGTCGGATATCGGTTGGATATCAGATATATTTGTATCCGTTTCCAATTTATTAAATCAAATTTAACAATACTTTAATTTTAAATTAGATTAAAGTCAAACTATTATTAAATCAACTATAATTTGTTATGGGATAATTATTTTCTTTGTTTACATGATCTATGATATTTTACCATAACTTAATGTGATAAAAAGATATACACGGCACACATATACATATATTTTTATATGTTGTACATATTTTTAAGTGTCTACACATTTATTTTGGGCATAAAAATGTTTTATACTTTGAAATATCAATAGAGAAACAAAATATAAACATAAAAAATTTTGAAAAATTATATATAACGAATCAGATATTTAGATAAACGGTTATTTAAATGAATTCATATTCGGATCGTATTTTAAATAGATCGGATATGCAATTACCAAATCCGTATCCGTTTAGTAATCGGATATCCTTAATCGGATCCAGATTATATCTGTTTCAAACGGATGCGGATATTTTCTCTTTAAACGGATACGGATGCAGACGGTAATTAGATTTTCGGCTATCCGTTGACAGCCCTAATTATAACACTCCCCCAAAAAATGTAATTTACCATTTGATCTCCTTGAATTTACGGAGTAAGAAAAATTCTATAAAAATAAAAGTATAAATGAAATTTGTGTAGAAAAAATAGGAATAATATGTGGGAGCTATATACGGAGTGTCGGAGTACTTCTTTCATCAAGTAGAAAAGTACACTACAAAAGTTTTAATTTTATTTAGCATCTCTAAATTGAGATGTATATCTTAACTAGAAACTAAACATCTAGTTCCACATACTCTAGCATAAATGCAGAAAATTATTAACAGGTGACGCGAGTTTTGTCCAATGTTTTACCCATAAATGTTAATAAATGTGATTTTTTCCTAAATATTTTATGGTAATAACTCTTAGGCCACTCATTTTTTTATTTTTTTGTTACTCTTTTTTAAAGTTTTTTTTAGAATTTCTTTTATAAAATATATATATATAAGGACATCTGTTGTCTTCTTGAAAATAGAAGGATCTGAGAGTTATTTAGACAAAACTCGTGTCACTCATAAGTAATTTTCTGGCATAAATGCATAAAAAGATTTTAAATTTTCTTTTTCTTTTATGGATAAGTTTTAGCCACAAAATTTGCCTCATTGATATTCAAACCATACAGGCTGTGTTTCAAGTTAAGAAATCCGTGTATAGGGGCAAAGTTTGTGCAAAAACAAGATGGAATGCACTTCGTCAATTCGACTTGGCTAGTTTGCCTATATGTTTTTTAACACGGTGACTATAAGTACAAATGGTGCATTTTTGGATTAGTTCGATATAGTTTGGCGCCATCAGTACAACTAAGGGTTGATTAGACTGAGTAATAAGATGTGAACACATTAGACTGATTAAGATGGTATCAAATGTTTATCTGGGATTATTGTGTGTATCTATGTCTATATGCCTATACATGTATGCGTCAAAAGCTATAAAAAATGTTTGCTGCATAACTCACATGCTCATGGAGTCGAGAAAAAAGTCTATGGCAGTACTGTACCTACTTTAGATGAAGAAATATACGATGCAAATATATTGGTATATTTCTGTAGCTACTTTAGATGAGGAAATATACCATGCAAGAATATTGGCATTTACAAAATAAGGCAAACAGAACGATGTATCAACATGAGTAAGACAAACCTCTGTGCAATCCTTCAATGCTTCAATTGTTGTCGCACGTGTATGTCTTAAAAAGTCATCTTCCATTGAGTACATGGGTCCAATGCTCTTACCATTCGGTTTTTTGTCAATCGCGTTTACATTCTCCAAGTATTTTGTTATAGTCGGAGCGTCATGACATATCTTGGATACTCTAAAGGACTGATCATGGTTGCTTCGAAACACTGTCCTCACTTCGACTTTAAAAAGATATGTCTTGCCTAGTAGAAGATCGTCAAACTCCTTTGGGTTGTTAAGATTTCCATCCTGAGATATTACGTACAACAACAAAGAGAATCAATGATTGATTTATAATTTTTAAAGAAATATTTAAATTTAAAAAATGAAATTGATATGCTTAAAGAAAGGGTACATACAACATCATTTCTTTCCATCAATAGAGCACATGATGCATTCAATATAGAGGATGCCTCACGATCAAATAAGACAAAAGTCGCCGTACCAGAGTCATCTTTAACAGTGAGTTTGATGAGATACCTCCAAAA